GGAGAATCACTTGAACCCAAGAGGCAGAAGTTGCAGTGAGCTGAAATCACACCATTGCACTCCAGCCCGGGCAACACAGTGAAACTCTCTCTTAAAAAAAAAAAAAAAAAATCAGCCAAGTGTGGTAGCACACACCTGTAGTCTCAACTACTCAAAAAGGAGGATCACTTGAGCAGAGGAGGCTGAGGGTTCAGTGAACTGTTATTACCCCACTGCACTCCAGCCTGGGTGACAGAGCAAGACCCTGGCTCAAAAAAAATGGATGATTATACATGATCACCACCATTAGGAGTTCAGATCTAGGTGGAGCACAGGCAGGATTCAGTATTACAAAAAATGTTTCTTGCAAAATGACTGCTCCACTCCCAGCATGAAGGTGTGGACAGTGTACGCTGGGAGCAAAGGAGTACCATCAATTCATCCTGGAGTTATGAAGGAAGGCTTCAACAAGGTGACAGTGGTACAAAGATCTTGAAAGCCAGGAAGGCAAAGGGGGCCTTCAGGGATACAAATGTACATTTCTTGTAGACAGCTTCCCCTTGTACTTTAAAGAAAATCCCTATTTTAAATCATGACCTATAACTTCCTTAGTAGTCTTTCTCCAGCTGCCTTACTTTCCAACCTCATCCCCTCCCACTCTCCCTGACACCCTCTGCACCTCCAGCCACGCTGCATCCCAGGGGCCAGCTCCTTCCTGCTATAAGACTCTGCCTTAGCTGCTCACTCTACTTAGGTGCAGTTGCCCAGGATCCTCCTATCCTCTCATGAGGTTTTCAGCTTAAATATCTCCTTGGAGCAAGCTCTCCTCTATCTCATACCAAACCAGTTGCCCAATCACAATCATATCATCTTGTTACAATCTTGACGCACTGCAGGGAACTTACTCACCTTCATAGTACTTGTGTGTGTGTGTGTATGTGATATGCACTTTGTCTCCCCTGGCTTGTCTTGTTCACTGCTGTTGTCCCTGGAACAGTGCCTAGAACACACAGCAGATGCTCAACAAACAGTTGTTGAATGGAGTGGATAAACTAACAGAGGCATGTGCAACACAGTTTTCCTGAATGAGGAAGTGGCACGGAGACATGAAAATGGACTGTATGTTTAAAGAACAGCAAGTGGTTTGCTGTGGCTGTGGGCAAGGGTAAGTCAGGATGGGAGACGAGGTGAGGAGGGTTAGGAGAGTCCTATAGTTGGAGACGGGCAGGACAGCTCAGAACTGAATGGCCTTTCATCTCCTGGCAACAGGAGCCATGGATCATTTTTAAGGAGAGAATGTTATGACTGGATCATGACTTTTAAAAAGCCATTCCAATCACAGTGTGGAGTTTGGGCCGTGGAGAACAAGCTGGGGTGTGGGTGGAGGTTGGGTGGGGATTGCAGATTGTTTAATCTGAGCAAGACTTGATGACAGATTGATCTAGTGCAATACTTGGAAGGTAGAAATGGAAAGTGAGGACACAGACATTTCAGAGGCAAAACTGCTAGGTCCTGGGGACCAATCAGATCCAGGGCTTTGAGAGAGAAGGTGAAGGCTGGAAGGAGACAAGGTGTGCATCCGGGAAGGGGTAGAAACAGCAATTTTAGTTTTGGATATATTGAGTCTGAGGAGCCCGGGGAACATCTTTCTCTGAATCTCTAGGAATTGTGCCACTACCACACTGTTCCTCCTACCCCTTTTCTCTTTTCTTTCCTGTTTTGAATCATTCCCACAAGTCAAGACTGCTCCCTGCTTCTCTGCCCGCTGGGGAGCCAGGCCAGCAGGCCTCACATTCCTGAAGAAGGGACAGGGTTCTGGCCTGGAGGGTTTGGCAGAGGCCACCCCAGGGGAGGGCCCTGACAGGAAGGAAGGTAGGCCTGCCGGAGGGGCACACAGGAGCTTCCTCTCCCGCTGCAGTGTCGAGGGCCAGCTGCTCCAGCCCTCAGGCTGGGTCAACAGGATGGGACAGCCCAGGCGGAAGGAAGCTTGTGGGGAGGGACACCCCGCAGACAGAAGCAGGGACACGGCGTGGGGAGAGGCAGGAAGAACTGCTGGGCTGCTGAGCTGGTGCCTCTCCAGCACACTCGGGAGGGGCGGTGACAGGAGGCCATTCTGTCCTCATCCCCGCAGCACCCCCTCTCTGGTCCTGACCGAGGGTATTATTATCATTACTATTGCTATTGTTCGCTAGCCTGGGCCTTAGATACATTAAAAAAAAATTGGAAGATACGCATAGCATTGGCAGTTTCTAAAACAATTAATTCCCTTCTTAGGCTTATTCTGTGATTATTGGGATATTAATGCTATTTGCATCACCAGCCTTTCAGTTAGAGACGTTGAGTGCTCGCAGGAAGGACAGTGATTTTTGCCTTAAGTTCAGCCTGTCCATGGGAGGTAAGATCTCTGATTTGCTATAAGCCCCGTTGTCACTGCCTTCCTCTCCAACAACAGCTGCTGTGATCATGCACAAACGGCCAAAAGGGGGCAAATCTATGCCAAAGCAGAGCCATGGGCTTTCCTGATCAGAAGGCCCCAGCCCCAGGCGCAGCACGCAAGCGGCTTCCTTTCAGAAACCCAGCTAGCCTCCCACTGGCTGGAGAGGGTGGGTGGGGCGGTAGCGGTGGCAGTTTCAGGAGACGGTCAGCAAATCCAACTCCAGGCGTGCTCCAGTGGGAGCCTAGAGACCCCAGGAAACCCCCCGCCGCAAGCGGCTTCCAGGCAGGACGCTTCCAGAGGTCTTGGTCCAGGGGTGGGGGTGAGGTGGGGTCTACCTTGGAAACAGCTACAATTTAAACTTCAACTACACCGAGCTCAAACTCGATTCCGCAGCCGAATGTCAGCGCCCAAGGGGGATAAAAACTCGGGTCTGCGGCTCCCCACCACGCCCTCGGTCCCGTCCTCGGGGCTGCCAGGAGTCCTCACGCCATCCTCTGGGTTGCCCAGGAAGAAGGATAGGCGGGGCGGGCAGGCGCTGTGGGCGCTGCAGATGGGGAGGGCAAGCCCGCGGCCCAGCGTGGGCGGGGGAGGGGCGCGAAAGCAGGTGTCGGCTCTGTGGCAGGGTCCTCCGCCCCGCGCCCCGGTGCTCCCCGAGGCTCAGCGAGGCAAAACCTAGCAAATGCTTCAGAAATGCAGCTCAGTCACCGGGTTCTGCTTCCTCGTCAGACGCGCAAGCGGATGGCGCTTCCAATGCAAATCTCTTGGCTCCCGCATCTTGGCTGGCAGCCGCCACCTCCCCCGCCTGCCCGGCGTCCCGCCCACTCCGTGGCGGGCTGAGCAGAGGCCAGGCGCGGAGGGACGGGGCGGAGCGGGCATCCCTCCCCACCCCACACGTGGGGCCGGCCCTCCGCAGTGCCCGGGCGCGCTGCCTTTGCCGCGCCTCCCCGCCCGCGGCACCGCCTCTCTAGACAGGGGCGGGGGACGAGGGGCGAGGAGTGGGCGAGGGGCAGGGGGCGTCACTAAATCAGGTGGCCACTGGAGTTCCCCCGGGCAGGGCCGAGGGAACACTCTGCCGGGGGATTGTGTACACGCTTCACTGACACTAGCTTCACGCTGCCGGGCAGTCGCTGATCACGCGTGGTCCCGCGAGCCCATTGGCCAGAGCCTCACACACCTTTGCCGCTGATTGGTCGGCCTCAGGCTCCGCCCCCGCCCCCGCCCGCGGCGCGGGGCAGGCTGAGAGGCTACCTGAATGGGGAGGGGGCAGACGGCGCGGAGCGCGGCGGCGGCGGGAGTGGCGTCGAGAGTCTCCGGGCGCCCGTCTGTGGCCAGGCAGCCAGTCAGCTCGTCGGCGGCGGCCAAGCAGCCAACCATGCTCAACTTCGGTGCCTCTCTCCAGCAGACTGCGGTAAGTCATTTGGGGATGCCCCTGTGCTTCCTCGCCTAGTCGTGTCTGGGGGACTAAAGGGGGCGCGAACCACGAGCCCCTGACATCAGCCACGCCTGAGAATTGGGGCTGCAGCGGAGTGCTGGGGAAGGAAGGGGCTTCCTGCCTGCAGACTACGGGCATTAGGGAGGGCGTGTGTGTTGGCGAGGGGGTCGAAGAGGGGAGCTGGGATCTGGAGACGGAGACCCGGGTCTTGCTCTAGATGTACTACGGAGGGGAAGTGGCAACTCCGCAGGGAGACCCGAGAGGGCAGGTGAGGAGGAGGGTGACTGGAGCGGGGAGGAGTGCGGAGGGGGCTGTCGCCCTGCAGCAAGGTTGGGGTGCGGCGCGGAAGGGGAGTCGTGGGAGGTACAAGGGGGCTACCCTGCACCTGGCGCCGGGGAGGGATGCCCGGTCTGGAGGAGGAAGGCGAGCCAGGGCCGGAGGGGGCTGCTCGCAGGCGCTCGGGAGGCGGGGTGTCCACCGGAGGGCGAGGGGGCTACCATCCTGGGGGTCTGAACCCAGGCTTGGAACACGGGGGCTGCTGCAGATAGCTCGGGGCGGGGGGAAGGGACTTCTGGCGTCGGCGCGGGGGATGACCCGAGGGCCAGCCGACCGCCTTGGGGGACGAGGTGCTCCCGCAGACGTCTGGAGAGGGGACTCAACGCTGGGGCAGGTGGCCGCCTTCTGACAACTCCTTGGAAGGGGCGGGAGGGTGGGAAGCGGGACCCAGCAGCTGGGGCGGGAAGGTGGGCGGGGGGAGCTGGGCTGCGAGACGCGGGGGCCGCGCGTCTGGAGCCGGGGCCTGTGGGGGCTGCACGTCTGGGAACCCGCGGAGACGCGCGGCGGGAGGGGGCCGGAGCTGCCGGAAGTCACGGGGAGGGGGCGTCGCGTTCGCAGGGAGAGACGGGGTGGTCTGAGGACCGGTGGGCCGCGTGGGCGGGAAGCGCCGAGGACGCTGCCGGGTCCCCGGGGGCTGCCGGCGGGAGGAGGGCGGCGGCCGGGTTTTCCGCGGGGACCCAGCTCCTCCTCCCGCAGCTGAGGCGGAGGCTGGGGGTGGGCCGGGAGCGGGTGCGCCCGGAGAGCTTCTCGTCCCCGAGTGACCCAGCCTCGGCCTCCGCCAGGGGCGGGAGCGAGGCCCGGCCCCGCTGTCGGTTCCTAAGGGAACGGCGGCTCGCGGGGAGCTGGAAGGGGCGGGCGCCTCCCGGAGCCTGGCGCCCGCGGCCCCGCCCCTCCCCGCGGACCCGGCGCGCACGGCCGGGCGGTTGGCGGCGGCGCTCACGGCCCCTCCCCCAGACTGGGCGCGGACGAGGGCCAGCGGGCTCAGGAAGTAGGGGAAAGGTGACGGCGCGGCAATTCCCAGTTCACGTTTCCTGCGCCGCCCGGAGCAGCCGCTGATCACGCTTTGTTCACATGCCTCGCCCCCTCCTCCCCCACGCCCCCTCTCCGGGCCGCACAGCCAATCCGGGCCCGGGCCGCCGAGCCGGTCGGCCAATGGCGGGGGCAGGGGCGCGGGGACGTGCGAGCGGCCAGGAATGTTCCCAGTGACTCACCCGCGAGCCTCATTGAGGTTAGGGCGGCCCCATCCGTCGGTACCCGCCAGCGAGGATCTCCCCCGCCGTCCGCCCCCGCCCCTCGTCTGCCTCCCCCGCCCGCGCCTTGGCCCTTGCTTCCCTTTCCTGCCTCGCGCCCCACTCCCTTTCCTCCCCTCCCTGTTTCCCTTCCTGTCCTTCCCTGCTCACGCTCTCCTTCTCTACCGCCTGCTTTTTTTCCCTTTCTTTGCATTGGCGTCTTGGGGCTGTCACAAGCGCGCTGTCCATTGCAGCTTACATAAAGGCGGGCGCGATTATGCAATTGCATTGTTAGCGATATTTCAAGAGCAATGGCTCGTTTTCTTATGATTTCAACACCGAGGCATCATGCATTTTTGAAAAACTAGTATTGAGAATAATACCTTGCAACGTGTAAAGAATGTTTTTTGGTATTTTTACACAATCTCTACTTTGACCAAACGAGTCGGGACAGTCTTTTTTTTTTTTTTTTTAAACGGAAAATAGAAATAGTGGGTAGTACCTTTTTTTTTTTAAGTGTAGTAAAAAGAACTAAAACATTAGGTAGGAGTTCTACAAATAAGTGCAAAGCATGTGCTGTTACTTTGTCATTAAGCAGCACATTTTAATTCCTTCAATAATTGAGATTCTATTTTGATCATGCTGAATCTTTAAAGTCGGTTTTTGCAAATTCCAAGTCGAATATTAATTTTTTTTGATTATCCAGTTTTTAGTAGTATTGCATTAGTTAAGTTGTAGGTAAGCATGGCAAACCGTTGTGTCAAATAGGTTCGGTAAAAGGGGGAGCACAAATATGAAGAAGTTGAAAGTTGATTAAAATAAGCAGTAGAATTTTTTCTACATATTTCATTTGGTCATTCTTTACCATAATCAAATTATCAAATAATTTTAGATCTTAATACAATTTCAACTTGAAAGATAGCCTTAAAAATCCCTTTTTAAAAATTTTTATCCCAAAGTGCAAAGTGACTTTCCAAAGGTGAGACCCAACAATACATCCATAACAACAGGCCAGAGCTTTACTAGGTTTTGTCTTTATTAGAAGATTTTGGCTTTCTTTTTTTCTATCAGGAATTTTTACCTCAAAAGACCTCATACCATACCTGTCATATTTTAAAAGATAATTTTTTTGCAGCACTCTCCCTTAGTTATTTTGTATGACTCTAGTTGCAGGTAGCTACTCTGGAAAGTCTATATAAAACTTTTTTTTCTTTATAGCCAAATACTTCTCTTTTTGGATCACAAATGCATTGATAATCTTAGTCCCTTTAGTGGTAATAGGTGTGTCTCTCTCCCATGAGCAGATATCAGTGTTAAAGCCTAAGTGTTGGAGAAAGAATGAGAAAGACTTTATTGCCACTACTGTGAGGTTTGGGTTACCTATCTCACAAGTGTAGCTGAACTTTGTATCAGAGTAGGGGTGAGAAGAAAATTATTTCTGATTTTAACTTGGAAAGTTGTGTGAGTTGTAAAAACAAGAATATTTGCTCGATTCTCTATGTGTCATTTGGATGACATATGCTTATAAGCTTTCCTCTTTTGTTTTCATAGGAGGAAAGAATGGAAATTATTTCTGAAAGGTCAAAAGAGAGTATGTATCCCTGGAACAAAACTGCAGAGAAAAGTGATTTTGAAGCTGTAGAAGCACTTATGTCAATGAGCTGCAGTTGGAAGTCTGATTTTAAGAAATACGTGGAAAACAGACCTGTTACACCAGTATCTGATTTGTCAGAGGAAGAGAATCTGCTTCCCGGAACACCTGATTTTCATACAATCCCAGCATTTGTAAGTATTATTGTTTTTAAGATAGATGTAAATTATAGAATTTCTTAAAATTTACATAATGGATCATAGATTTCTTATGCTTGTATATTTCCCTTTTCTTTAGTGTTTGACTCCACCTTACAGTCCTTCTGACTTTGAACCCTCTCAAGTGTCAAATCTGATGGCACCAGCGCCATCTACTGTACACTTCAAGTCACTCTCAGATACTGCCAATTCTCACATTGCTGCACCTTTCAAAGAGGAAGAAAAGAGCCCAGTATCTGTCCCCAAACTCCCCAAAGCTCAGGCAACAAGTGTGATTCGTCATACAGCGGATGCCCAGCTATGTAACCACCAGTCCTGCCCAGTGAAAGCAGCGAGCATCCTCAACTATCAGGACAATTCCTTTAGAAGAAGAACCCACCTGAATGTTGAGGCTGCAAGAAAGAACATACCATGTGCTGCTGTGTCACCAAACAGATCCAAGTGTGAGAAAAACACAGTTGCAGATGGAGATGAGAAAGCAAGTGCTGCACTTTATGACTTTTCCGTGCCTTCCTCAGAGACGGTCATCTGCAGGTCTCAGTCAGCCCCCATGTCCCCACAGCAGAAGTCAGTGTTGGTCTCTCCACCTGCAGTATCTGCAGGGGGAGTGCCACCTATGCCGGTCATCTGCCAGATGGTTCCCCTTCCTGCCAACAACTCTGTAGTGACAACAGTCGTTCCCAGCACTCCTCCCAGCCAGCCACCAGCTGTTTGCCCCCCTGTTGTGTTCATGGGCACACAAGTCCCCAAAGGCGCAGTCATGTTTGTGGTACCCCAGCCCGTTGTGCAGAGCTCAAAGCCTGCAGTGGTAAGCCCAAATGGCACCAGACTCTCTCCTATTGCCCCTGCTCCTGGGTTTTCGCCTTCAGCAGCAAAAGTCACTCCTCAGATTGACTCATCAAGGATAAGAAGTCACATCTGTAGCCACCCAGGATGTGGCAAAACATACTTTAAAAGTTCCCATCTGAAGGCCCACACAAGAACTCACACAGGTACCAGCCGCTTCTTATTTATGTCTTTAATGTTTAAATGAGGTTTTGGCTGTGATCACACATACAAACCCAGCCTGATAAGAACTTGCCCTAGCAAGTTTAGCAGATGGTATTTATCAGTGCAAGGTCCTCCAAGAGGCTTTACTTATTGGATGCCACTCACAAGTGCCATAGTCCCTGCACTTTGGGAGACCAAGGTGGGAGGATTGTTTGAGTGCAGGAGTTCAAGACCAGCCTGTGCAGTATAGTGAGACCTGATCTCTACAAATAATTTAAAAATACCTAAGTATGTAAACAAAAGCCTTATCAGGGTGCTTATGTTTCAGTTTCTCAAATGATGATTCTGCAGATGTCTGAGTAATTAATTAGTTATCTTTAAAGCCTTTGAATCGTAGTTGAAGTCAGGAAGTCTTTTCATGTTTGGCTTTTTTAAGGGATGAGGTTGCCCAGGCTGGTCTCAACAAACTTCTGGGCTCAAGCCATCCTCCTGCCCCAGCCTTCTGAGTAGCTGGGACTACAGGTGCATACCACCCCACCCAGCTGCCTTATTTCATGAGGGGTAGATTTTTGTAAATGTGATCGAGTGACAAGTTGAAATTGGAGCAATAAATATCTCATATTCATTTGACAGTTTATTGACCTATATTAGCTTTTATTATTTAAAATGCATCTCCTCATATACTTTTAGATAGAAGTGAACATATAATTTACAGCAGTCTTATGCATAACAATGATTTGTATTTCTTTGTTTTAGGAGAAAAGCCTTTCAGCTGTAGCTGGAAAGGTTGTGAGAGAAGGTTTGCCCGTTCTGATGAACTGTCCAGACACAGGCGAACCCACACGGGTGAGAAGAAATTTGCATGCCCCATGTGTGACCGGCGGTTCATGAGGAGTGACCATTTGACCAAGCACGCCCGGCGCCATCTATCAGCCAAGAAGCTACCAAACTGGCAGATGGAAGTGAGCAAGTTAAACGACATTGCTCTACCTCCAGCCCCTGCTCCCACACAGTGACACACCAGAAAGTGAAGAGTCAGAACTAACTTTGGTCTCAGCAGAGCCAGTGGTGATGTAAAAATGCTTCCACTGCAAGTCTGTGGCCCCTCAACATGGGCTTAAAGCAGAAGCCCACAGCCTGGCGTGAAGGCCCAGCCTGGGTTAGGTGACAAAAAGGGCTTTGGCCACAGGCAAGTCACAGAATGGCAGGTTTCATTTCTTATCACATAAGAGAGATGAAAAAGCTTTTATTCCTTTGAATATTTTTTGAAGGTTTCAGATGAGGTCAACACAGGTAGCACAGATTTTGAATTTGTGTGCACATTTGTTACTTTACTTTTGCTGTTTATACTTGAGACCAACTTTTCAATGTGATTCTTCTGAAGCACTGGTTTCAAGAATATGGAGGCTGGAAGTAAACATTACGGTACAGAGATGGAGATGGAAAATCGGTTTGTATTATTACAAATATTGTCATCTTTTTCTAGAGTTATCCTCTTTATTATTCCTAGTCTTTCCAGTCAACATCGTGGATGTAGTGATTAAATATATCTAGAACTATCATTTTTACACTATTGTGAATATTTGGAATTAAACAGCTGTACATTGCTAAGAGGGCCCAAAGAATTGGAATCCTCCTTAATTTAATTGCTTTGAAGCATAGCTGCAATTTGTTTTTGCATTTTTGTTTTGAAAGTTTAGCAAATGACTGTATCTAGGCATTTCATTATGCTTTGAACTTCAGTTGCCTGCAGTTCCTTGTGTAGATTCGAAAATCGTATACCAATGTGTTTTCTATAGACTCTTAAGATACACTGCACTTTGTTTAGGAAAAAAATCTGAGGATGAAAATATATATTATAAAGAAGGGATATCAAGAATTTTAGATAACTTCCTGAAAAAGATGGCTTATGTCATCAGTAAAGTACCCTTATGAGGATATAATGTGTGCTTTATTGAATTAGAAAACTAGTGACCATTATTCACAGGTGGACAAATGTTGTCCTATTAATTTATAGGAGTTTTTTGGGGATGTGGAGGTAGGTGGGTAGAAAAATTATTACAACATTCACTTTTGTTAACAGTATTTCTCTTTTATTCTGTTATATAGTGGATGATATACACAGTGGCAAAACAAAAGTAAATTGTTTAAAATATATAGTGAAAAATGTCACTATATCTTCCTGTTTAACATTGTTTTTGTATATTGGGTGTAGATTTCTGACATCAAAACTCAGACCCTTGGAAAACAAAAGTTTTCTTTTAATTAAAAAAAAATCCTTGTGACTTACAATTTGCACATTATTTTATTGTACTTTATATCTTGTTTACAATAAAGAATTTCCTTTGGTATATAGAATTGGTCATTGCATTTCTTAAAAACCATTCTCTCACCTTGACATTGATCACTTATATTATCCAAGGACTTAGTGTCTGAATTTCTGTAAGGGCCTCATTCGAATTTAGAACAGCAGGAATATGTCTTTAACATAAATCAATTTAAAGAGCATATGATGTGAAGCCAAATACCTATTTGGTGAGTTCATATGTGAACCAGCCAGTTCTAAGAAACAATATTTAATTTTTAAACATTCTTATTTTTCAAGACATAGTTTCACTCTGTCGCCCAGGCTGGAGTACAGTGGCATGATCTCGGCTCAATGCAACCTCTGCCGCCAAGGTTCAAGCGATTCTCTTATCTCAGCCTCCAGAGTAGCTGGGATTACAGGTGTGCACCACCGTGCCCAGTTAATTTTTGTATTAGCAGAGATGGGGTTTCTCCATGTTGGCCAGGCTGGTCTCGAACTCCTGTCCTCAAGTGATTTGCCCGTCTTGGCCTCCTAAAGTGCTAATTTTTAAACATTCTTGAATATTTTGATGATTTGGGATTGAAAAATAGCCCCAGCTCGCAGCAAAATCTTGTTAAGTAGTATTCAAGTTAAAGGGAACATCACAGTGAATAATTACAGGTAATGAAACTGCTGTGGTAAATGAAAAGAAGGCTGACTTATTAAATAGTAAATTGCTCACCTCTAGAAGTTAACTCAATTGAGTGATAACCTTAAACGCAGTAAACGTTGGTACTTAAGCTGCATGAAAAGTAATCCACCTCTGAAGAGAAGCACTATTTAGTTACTTATCAGTAGAAAGAACTAAGAGCTGTAAATGCTACTTGGTGTATAGGACTCTAGAGTATAATTTTGTAGATTACTATTTTAGCTTGCACTGAAATTCCCTCGTGGTCAGGAGAACATCTTCCACAATGCCCAACTTAACCAGTGACCTAGAATCTGCCTCACTGTTGAACAAACACCATGGTAAGGGGCCATGAACTCACTTGGCACCAGTTGTAGGACAAGTGTCTTGGGACATCTGTGCACCTGTTGCTACTTTTCTTGGAAAATTAATACCACATAAGTATGACACAGCTGTTGGAGAGAGGCTTTGCCATGCTGGCCTCTGGTGTAGCTGTGTTGTCGGGAACCTGGACCATCTTCTTCCCCTAGAGCTCTTCATGGTGGCAGGTCTCCAGAAGTGGGAATGGAGGAAGATAGCTGACATATTCTCTGTCTACCCAAACGCCCAGTTCCTTGTAATGATGTGGCCAGTGAAACTGTGCCACCTGTTGGCTGTGTTCTTCACAGTCCTAGTTGGTATCTGAGATCTTTCCTTAGGAATCTTGCAAATAGAGTTGTTAATGAATGTTGAAGCAGGATCTAATTTTTTTCTTTTTTTTTTTTTTTTGAGACAGAGTCTCACTCTGTTGCCCAGGCTGGAGTGCAGCGGCGCAATCTCGGCTCACTGCAACCTCTGCTTCTTGGGTTCGAGTGATTCTCCTGCCTCAGCCTTCCCGAGTAGCTGGGATTACAGGCAACCGCCACCACACCCAGCTAATTTCTTTCGTATTTTTGTTAAAGACTGACCATATTGGCCAGGCTGGTCTTGAACTTCTGATCCCAGGTGATCTGCCCACCTCAGCCTCCCAAAGTGCTGGAATTATAGGCTTGAGCCACTGTGCCCAGCCGCAGGCTCTGATCTTGATTAAAAAGTTGCCCCAAGACAAGTATATTTTGATAGGATTTTAGTGCAGATTTAGCACTTCAATTTTGATTGTTTCTAGTCTGACTTGTATGTCAAGATGAACCATAGGAAACTGCTGATATTCAGCTGTCTTTTCCTAGTTCTTTTTACATAATTTTAAACTTAAAGAAACTTGTGAAAATGGAGTTCCTCCTGTGTACCCTCATCCTGCTTCTCCTTATAATAACACCTTGCATAGTTCTAGAACATTTATCAAAACCAGGAAATTAAACTTGGTACAATATTGTAAAGTTTTCATGAGGATACTAAAATGGAGAAAAGTTGAAGCAGAAACAGCTTATTTAACCAACTTAATTTTTTACTAGCTTTTCTATTTCTATTACAGAACCTAATCCATGATCTCGAATTGCATTTAGTTGTCATGTCTCTCCTCCAATCTGTAGTAGTTCCTCAGTCTTGTCATTTGAACATTACTTGTCAGTTATTTTGCAGAATGTCCCTGAATGTGGGTTTGTCTGATGTTTATTCATGATTAGATTGAGGCTATGGGGTATGTGGAAAAGATACCCCAGAGTGATAATGCCCTTCTTAGCACATCTTACCTAAGAACACATGGTGTCCATATGCATTACTGGTGATGCTAACCTCACTTACTTGGCTAAGGTGATATCTGCTGGAATTTTCCACTGTAAACTTACCATGTTTCTCTTTACAATTATTAATTATGCAGAGGGACATACTTTAAGGCTATGCAAATAACCTGTTTCTGCTTACACTTTTCCCCATTTATTTTAACATCCTGATAGAAATCTTGCCTGGGGCAATTATTACTGTGATATGCTAATTTCCTCATTATTTATTAAATTGGAATTCTGTAAGAAAGAGTTGTTTCTTCTCCATTCAGTTTTTTTTAAATGTCAGCATGGACTTGAATATTTATGGCATCCTTTGAGTTCTAACACTACACTTAATTATTTTGTGACTCAGTTTTTCCATCTTTGGCCCTTGTTAGCTCTTTCAGTATTCAACCATTTTTAATAAATAACGATGAAGATTTTATATGGTTCAACCTATCATTTCTCACTAGAACGAGAACTGTTTGGTATTATAATGACTTTTTAAAAGTGTTTTCTACCTGCATTGCTGCCACCCTGTCTAATCCAGCATCTCTCAGTCATTTGAAAATGCAAACCTGATCGTGTCACTTCTCTGTTTAAAACACTGGAAATTTCCCAGTGCTCTCAAAGTCCAGGTATTACAACATGCTCTAGAATAGTGCTGTCCAACAGAAATATCATGTGAGCCATATGAAATTTGAAATTTTCTAGCAGCCACATCAAAAAAGTAAAAAAGAAAAGAAGTTCATATTTAAATTTAAAATTTTTATTTAAAAAACATTTAATTGAATATTGGGGGTAATTTTTGAAATCTAGTCTAATCTCAGCAGGGACTAGCCTCACTCCAAGTGCTCTGTACCCACAGGTGGGACTGCTGCAGTCTGAGCAGGTCTAGAAGACCCTGTACCTTTAGGCTTCTACCAACCTCCCGCGACACCACTTTCCATCTTACACTCTACATTGTGTCTGAGCTCCAAGCCTTCCTATGTGTTATGTCTTCTGCTGGGAATGGTTTCCCTGCCAGCTCCACCCTTTTTTTTTTTTTTTTTTTTTTTTTTTTTTTTTTTGAGACGGAGTCTCATCACCCTGCCTGGAATGCAATGGTGTGTGATCTCGGCTCACTGCAAACTTTGCCTCCCAGGTTCAAGTGATTTGCCTGCCTCAGCCTCCAGAGTAGCTGGGACTACGGGTGCTCACCACCACACCTGGCTTATTTTTGTGTTTTTAGTAGAGATGGGGTTTCACCATGTTGGCCAGACTGGTCTCGAACTCCTGACCTCAGGTGATCCACCCACCTCAGCCTCCCAAAGTGTTGGGATTACCGGCATGAGCCACTGCGCCCTGCCTTCCCTGCCCTTTTACCTTGACATTTGCACTATAATAATAATAATTATTATTATCCTTTACTTAAAGCCTTTTTTCCCTTAGCTGTAAAACTTCATGAGGACAAGCACCCTGTAGATCTGGCTTACCCCTACTTGTGCATCTAACACAGTCCCTGACACATAGCAAAAGGCTTAACAATTTTGCCAAACTGAAAGTGGAGTCTCGAAGAGGCCTCTGCAATTTTAGGGAGGGAGAACAACTAGGAAGTTGTTACATAATATGCAGGACAGAGGTAAAGGAGATGAGAAGCTGAAACTACCTTTTTCTTGTTCCCATCATTCTTTGCTAGTGCTGAAAGGACCATGTACTTCACCTTCCAAACTCTTAGAGTCTCATGGCATTTGAATTTTCTTTATTGCATTTTTAAAGGGTCAGGGAAGAGACCTGATCAAGACAGACATACGTAAGCCTCACTAAGGCCCTTCGTGTGAGTCTAATGCCAGCCTGGAAGGGCCAGCAAGTGTAGGCTTGGCTGTTACCCTACCCTTTCTCTTTAGTAGACTTTCAGAATAAGGTGGCAACAGAAATGGAGACTTTTATCAAGGGCACTGGAAATCAGCAAAGCCCTGGAACTAAACAAGAGCCTCTGGGTGACACCTTAAGGGAATTTTGTTCTGATGCCTTAATCCAGTCCTGGCATTTTGCTGACCAACTTAAGCGGAGCTTGAGAAATGATAGAGTTGGTTCTCAAAGAGCACCCACCGCCTCTAATTTTTCACACAGGTAACAGTGCCCTGGAGGTGTCAGGATCAGGGAAAGAGTACTGATCAAATTAAAACACCTGGTATTTTAGGGTTCTCCTGGAGAAATAGAACCAATAAAACAAACAGAACATATGTACATATGTTTTCTGTATATGAAATTGAATAAAAGGAATCGGGTCATGTGATTATGGGGACTGACAAGTCCCAAAATCAGCAATCAGCCAGCTAGAGACCCAGGAGAACCAATAGTGTAGTTCCCGTCCAAATTATAGCAGGTTCAAGAACCAGGAAGAGTTTTGTTTCATCTGAGTCCAAAGGCTAGAAAAAAAATGAAGTCCCAGTTCGAAGGCAGTCAGGCAGCAAGGGTTTCTCTTACTTAGTCTTTTGCTCCATTCAGGCCTTCAACTGATTGGATGAGGCCCATCCCCACTGGGGAGGGCAACCTGCTGGACTCAGTCTACCAATCCACATGTTCATGTCCTCCAGAAACACCCTCTCACACGCACCCAAAATGTTTGACCACACAGATGGGCATCCTGTGGCCCAGTCGAGTTGTCACATAAAATTAACCACCATAGGCCAGGTGGCTCGCACTTGTAATCTCAG